AACAAAAAAAAAAAAAAAAAAAAAAAATTCTGAGTATCACTTAGGATGTGGTTATAAGGAGACAAATCAATTTGATTCCTATTGACTATACTAATCTTTCAGAGCTCATAACATATGAGTTGCAGATGAGAACAGAGGAAGTGCAGGGAGATGAAATCAGTCAGTATGGAGATTTCTCAAAGAACTAAAATTAGAAATTCTATGTTACCCAGCTATTCCCCTCCTAGATATCTTCCCAAAAGAGCTAAAACACCATACTGCAGCGATACATATGTACTAGTATTTATAACAGTTCATAATAGTTGAATACTGTAAGCAACCTGTATACCTATAAAGACACAGAAAATGTGATATCTTTACATAAAATACTATTTGGCTATAAAGAAGGATAAGTTGAAGACATTTGTAGGAAAATGAATACACCTAGAAAATATAATGGTGAGTGAAATAAATCAGAAACACAAGCTTAAATACTGTATATGGTATCTCTCATTGGAGTAAGGGAAAAAAGGACAAAGATCAAAATAAAGAAGGGTAGGAGGAAACAGGCTGATGTGTTGTAAAGGGAAGGGATCCAGGAGACCAAGGACAAGGGGAGACAGGGGAAGTAAGATTTAAGATACGCCATAAACAGAAACCTAATAACCTCAATAAATGTGGACAAGTGTCATAAACATGAGCTAAGAATAATAATAAGAATGAAAAGGGATTTAGAAAATGAGGGAGGGAAGTGAGTAGGAAGGGAAAGGGGATTAAAATAAGAAGCTGTGTTTCATACAGGTACTTACTCCCCGGTATAAATGTAAACACCATGTACTGCAAATATGTACTAATAAAATAAAACTAGAAAAAGGAAGGTGAAATAAAAAGTGTGTTTTTAGAAGTCAGAATTTTTAATCACTATATCAGACTGGAATTTTACATTTTTCAATAGTATTGCTTGTAATTTTAAAGATTAAATGACTGTTAATGATATTTCTTGAAATTTTAATTTGTGATAAATATTTTTCTATAGCTATGAAATTGGGAAGTGCATAGGTCATAATAGATAATCTAATAACATTTTTCTCAGTTGAGGACATAGATTTTAATTAGTTTTCTATGAAGCACCAAGACCTTTTGATTATTGACATGCATGTATGTATATATAATATTTATATATTACTAAGACATTGAAAAGATCACTTCTATAATTATTTTCTTGGTTTGTTAATATCTTTATTCAATATTTTAAATACTCCAATTTTTTCTCCAGGTTGAAGATTGTAAAAATTTCTTTTAAGTGCAAACAGTTTTTTATTCAACTTAGAAAAGAATTGGTGAGTACTCATCTAATGATTATTCATATAATTGAAATCTTTTAAGAGCTGCCCAATCATTCATAAGAGAATTTTTCTAGCACTACAGATGAAAGTATAATTAATACCATTGGTAACTGGCTAGTGAAGTCATTAATGACCAGGTGCATTTGTTTCTCTAGTGAATCTGTGATTATGATTTAAAATTCCTGGTCATTTTTTCTGCTATCTTGAACTTGAAAACTGATTTCTCACATGTGATGCTCATTGTCAAATCCAGGAGCCAAAAATAAGAGCAATAACTAAACATTTTATATATTCTTTTTTTCCTAGTAAATCTTTGCAAATTAAAACTGACTTCAAGATGGTTATGTGTGTGAAATGCACCTAAAACCTTAAAAATTGTTTTGAATCAGGTACATTTTATTGGTAGAGATTGATCTATGATGGGATTGTTTTATCATTTATATTCACAAGGTATATGGGCATTTAAAATAGCATTTTGTTGAAATAAAATACAGTACAACAAAGTACATAGATCTTACGTGTACAGTTTGACAAAGTGAACATACTCAATATCAGCACCTTCCAGATTAATATTTAAGACTTGACCAGCACTCCACAAGGCAATAACATTGGTAGTGAAACTGATACTCACTTTCAGTCATTAATCCTACCAAAAGATAAATAAACTTATTTTCATTTGCACTACTGTGGATTAGTTTGCATATTTTTGAACTCTAAAAAATGAAATTGAGTATACTTTGTTTTGTATTTGCTTTCTTTAATTAACATTGTTTGTGAGATTGATTCATGTTGTTAGCATTAGTTTGTGGCATTAATGTGCAATATTCCATTGAACAAATACACCATAATCATTCTGTTATAGATGATTTTGCCATTTCCAGGTTGAGAATATTATGACTACTGTACATGTTCCAATAAAAATTTTAGAGTAATATAGTGCAGTAAATCTTATTTGTAAATTAAAGGGCAAAGTTTTTATTTTCAGTAAATGTAAACAGCACTATAGAAATCAAGTTTTCTAAT